TATTGGACAGCACAGACCTAGTGTTACTTTTGTTGTGGCATTAGGTAGGGATTCAGTTTTACTTTTCTCCATAAAATGAGCCAATTTTCCCAACACTGTTTCTTATTAAACAATCTATTTCCCTCTTTGGTTGGTGGGGCCATCTATTGTATGATAAGCTCCTGTATCTCCATTAGTCGGAATCCACTTGATGGAACTAACCACCAAAAAAACCAACCCTGTTGCTCTCGAGTCGCTTCTGACTCCTAGCGACCCTACAGAACAGAGGAGAACTGCCCCCTAGGGTTTCCAGAGCGGGTGGTGGATTCGAACTTGATTAGCAGCTGTAGCTTGCTGTAGCTCTTAACCACTGCGCCACCAGGACTCCAACACCAACAAGCTTCTGTATATACCTGGGTCTGCCTCTGGGCTCTCTGTGTCAGTCAGTCAGAACCCCTGCGGTGGAGTGTGAAGCATCACTATTCTACAGTAATGGAATTTTTAGGCGGACATACCAAACCAGAAAACCCAACCCCGCTGCCGTGAAGTCGATTCCGGCTCACAGCAACCTTAAAGGACAGAGTAGGGTTACTTTGCCCCATAGGGTTTCCAAGGCTGTAATCTTTATGGAAGCAGACTGCCACGTCTCTCTCTTGTGGAGTGACTAGTGGGTTCAAACCGCTCACCTTTCGGTTAACAGCTGGACGCCTAACCACTACACCAAATTAAAGACTACATTTCCCAACCTCCCTTGCTCCTGGCTGTGGTCACATGACTAAGCTGTGGTCACTGAAGTCGTGGTGCAACCTCTGGGTCAGGTCCTTCAAGGGAAGGGGAGTGCTGTCCTCTCTCTCTGTCCCGTCTTCTGGAGTGGCTGAGTCATCTTGGACCATGGGGGTGAGGCAATAGTCTCAGGATGAAGAAGCAACAAGATGGAAGGAGACTGGGACCTGGTGACTTGGAAGGCAGAACTACCACACACCTCCGCCTTTTACACAAGATAGTAATTGTAGATCTCAGTGGTTCTCAAACTTGAGGGGCAAGAGAATTCCCTGAAAGGCTTGTTAAAATACACATTGCTGGGCCACACCTAGAGTTTCTGATTCAGTCTGGGGTGGGACCTGGATGTTTGAATTTCTAACAAATTCCCAGCAAATACCGATGCTGCTGGGCCAGGGACCACACTTGAAGAACAACTCTGTAAACACAACTCTGACCTATACCCAGTTCCATCCAGTAGCCGAGGCTTCAACCCTAATGGCAACCCCACGTGTGTCAGAGCAGAATTGTGCTCCATAGGGTTTTGAATGGCTGACTTTTTTTCTGACATGCCTCTGGGTGGACTTGGACCTCTAACCTTTAGGTTATCAGCGGGTGCGTTAACAGTTTGCACCACCCAGGGACTCTTCAGACCTATAGCTAATACTCCCCGGGCCTTTGGAGTTCAGATCCATCACCCTCAGCATCTCCTCCCAAATGAACACTCATTCCTTGTAGGCGCGCCATGTTCGGTCAATACAGTCTGGACAAAGCGAGTCCTCCAGCTCCCCACAGCTGCTGTGTTCAGTGATAATCTGCCACTGCTCAGCCCGCTTCCTCTCCTAAATGCCCCCGTTTCGTCAAGGCTAGAAGGCTGAAAACTTACCTCTGACTGACTGCCTTGCCAGCTAGCATCCAGTTAGTTTCTAGACATAGGAGACACTGAGCTGATCGGCTGGGAAGCTGGAAGAAGCCATTCTACATCTGGCAGCAGCAAGACCAGACTTCTGGGGTCTTGTTGGTGGCTGTTGAGTAGGTGCCAACTCATGGCAACCTTGTGTACAACAGAACCAACCACTATGCAGTCCTAGGCCATCTTCTTTATCACTGCTCTATGAGTCCGTTGTTCTATTGTGTCTATCCATCTCATTGAAGGTTGCCTTCATTTTTGCTGACCCTCTACCAATCCTGACATACTTTATTAGTGATTGGTCTTTCCTGGTGACGTGTCCAAAGCAAGTAAGTGTGGGGTCTGGGTAATACAGTTCACCCCCTTTATTTTTCCAGACCCGTGGGTGGTTGTGGCCTCCTGCCTGGAATGATCTCTAGGTCACTGTGGCTCCTTCAGCCTTTCCACTCACTGGCCTTATAACCAGCCCCGTGTTAAATCCTCCTGTTTGGAACTAGAGGGACGTGTTTTCCCGACTGGGCACTGCCTGGCACACGTGGGCAATAGCAGCAGAAAGCAGTGCTGGGGGGAGGGAGTGCAGGAATTTTTTTTTTTAATCATCAAGTTGTCTCTTTTGCATTGTCTTATGCCCTCGACCCACGTGTTACAGAGTAGAACTGCTCCATAGGGTTTTCTTGGCTGTAACCTTTACAGAAGCAGATCGCTGGGCCTGTCTCTTCCGAGGTGCTGCTGGGTGGGTCTGAACCGCCAGGCTTTCGGTTACCAGCCGAGCACAAACCTCAAAACCATTCTTTTAAACTGCACAGTGACAGATTTGCCCCCACAACTTATGCGGGGTTGGACAAGTGCCTTCCTGTCACCTCCCCTGTGGAACAGGCACCCCTTGGAGGCGCTCTGAGTACCCAGTGAGATTCCACAGCCCTGTGGGTACAGGTGACGTGGAGCTATAATACTTTTCCTCACCGTCCGTATCTGATTCTGGAATCATGGCTATACCAGCCTCATCAAATGAGCTGGGCAGCTCTCTTTCTCTTTTCTGGTACAACTTGTACAAGGCAGGAATTACCTCATCCTTCAAAGTTTGGGAGAACTCATTTGTAAAAGCTTTCAAACCTGAGGCTTTTTTGGGTGAGGGGGCGGGAGGATCATTTTGGTCTTTCCTTATTCTCTCTTCTTGTGAAGCCACATTTCGAGAGACGTACATTCAGCAGGCCTGACACATCCACACACAGCAGACAGCTACCTGCAGTGTGCCAGTGTGTGATTGCCTACAGTGGTTTCCAGAGATCCTGCGTTTTTCCCATAGGCCCTGGTTCTTAGGGAAGCCAGGATGTGGAACGTGCTGAGGGGTGGGGGGCCATGCGGCAGGGAGGACTGCAGGGGGCTTGGGCAAACCCAGCCCTCTCCACACGCTTTCCACCAACAGCCAGGCTGAGGTCCCCCTGCTCTCTCAACGGCCCCTAGAGGGCTCTGGAGGGAGGGTCACTCCTGGCTCTCCCCTTCGTGCGGGGGGGTGACTCTGGGCGTGTGCTGCTGCTGCCTCAGACCACCTCTCAGTGTCGTGGGGAGGATGGGTCCCATCATCAGGTCCCAGGTCTGCCCCCGGCCGCCTCGGCTTACAGGGAAAGGCTCAGCTTATGGGCTTTCTCTGAAGCGGCAGCTCCAGGTCAAATAGCGTTAATCGACGCCCCCAAAGCCCATCTGCTCTGACCAACCTGCCACATGACCAGTTCACTAATGTCAACTCACCAAGGACCAGTTCCTATCCACTGAGCATGCTCACGACAAGCAACCTTTACGTTTCCAGCAAACTGTAGATTTGGCCAGCTGTTAGCACACACACAGACTCATTGGCAAACTGGCTGTTTCCGGGGCTGGGGGAGTGGGTAGGAGGGCGTCGATCCTGCTCCCATCTGGGGACGGAGGCAAGGCCTTTAACGGCTGCTGTGATCTGGAACTCCCCACCACCCCACACCTGCTCCGCTTGCCCTAGGTTTGACTAGAATCCTGCAGTCAGCAGGCCTCAGCTCACTCAGCTCACCAGCTACCAGCGAGTCAATTCTGACTCACGGCTGCCCCGTGTGTCAGAACAGAACCATGCTCCGCAGGGCTTCTGATGGCTGATTTTTTTGGAAGGAGACTGTCAGGCCTTTCTTTCGAGGTACCTCTGGGTGGAGATGAACTACCAACTTTCTGGTTAGCAGCCAAGCACGTTAACCATTTGTACCATCCAGGGACTCCCACATTCCCGTGCCAAGTCGGCCCAGGCGGGGCCTCCACATACACACACACACACACACACACATAAAACAAGAAAATGTTTTAATTGTAAAACTAACCTGAGGGAGGGGGAGGGCGGGGCTGCGCCGAGGGGCCAGGAACCTGCTCGTTCGGATAGTGGTTCTGCCCCCGGTGCCCCGCCGCAGGACAGGGACGGCTGTCCCGAGGGGGCAGGGCTAGAGTGTCACCAAACGGCCGTATAAATAGATTTCTAGAAAAGAGGAGGCTGGCCGGGCGCAGTAGTCATTTTCTGCAAGGCGAGGGCCCGGTGGGGGCTCTGACCCCTGGGCCCCCGTCCATGCCGAGGGGGTGTGCAGGGCTAAGGGAAAAGGCCACTCTTCAGACATTCATGAGCGACCCCCACATGGCTCGGCGGGGGGGCTGTACATCAGGCGAGGTCTGAGGCACCCACTTACTGGGCCACCCCCACCGCGCACACACACACATGCACACACGCTTCTCATAGAGTTCTCCCCACCCACAGCAAGCCCGCTGCAGGTTCCCAGTGACGGAGGGCCGCCTGTCCTTCCAGGAGACGGGGGGCACCGCCCGCCCTTCCAGGAGACGGGGGACACCGCCCG